GCTCCTTAATAAATCACACAATAAATATGAGTGCGACCGTATGTTTTCCCGCTTTGCCTATATCTTGTTCAATCTTATTAACAATTGTTTTACGTTTCATGTGTATTAATCTATGGTACAATAGCACATTGTAAATTAGTTCTCGACCACTGTGGGCCGTGTACTGTGTAATGAATTTGTTTACGCACTACAGCGAAGCGGTTCCGGTTAATCTCGCGGCGTGTCGTGTCGTGTGGTCATACCACGCTTGTTTCATGGAATGATCTAGAAAATTATTGTACTAGGAATTCCATCACCGCGTTATCATACTAATATTATAAATTAGCTTTCGCCCGCGACTCCGTCTGCGTGGAATTAAAAAAAACTAAGTAGCATATGTGTTCTTCCAGAGTATACTTTACATCTATGCCAAATTTCATCGAGATCCGTCCAGCCGTTTAAGCTACAAACTCTAACAAACATCCATCCATCTTAACTTTCGCATTTATAATATTAGTAAGATGGGAGAGTTTAGATAGCCTAAACGGCTCAACGAATTTCGATGAAATTTGGTATAGATGTAAAGTATAGTCTGGAAGAACACATATGCTACTAATTTTTTTTTAATTCTACGCAGACGGTGTCGCGGGCGAAAGCTAGTTAAAATATAATTTATCATTCTCTTTTAAATAAAATCCACGAATTCAATTCTGTTTCGATTAAGAAAATTCAAAATAAGGCGCATTTGGGAAATACTTCTTATTAGATGGTCTTTAAAAAATAAAAAAAACAATTTCAGTATTCGGTTGTAAGAAATGAAACCTACAAAACTATTACATCAGGCAATATCTTATCAAAACGTAAATAAATTTATAAATTTACATTCAGCCGAATACTAAAACGACATTTAAATACGTAACTTCGTCTTAAAGATCACGTAAACTCCAATTAAAATGTTCATCTGTCACCTTTAAGTGACTTATAGGGGATTTCTAAAGTTCCACTTATTTCGTCATTACCTAGCGATTAGTGTGATCTCGAACCAAAAACACTAACGAATGAGTAAACGTAGCTGGGAAACCGGCCGTAATGAAATGTGTTAAAGATTCATTTTTATAATGAAGTTTAATGTTTACGAGTAATAATTTAAAAAAAAATTAACTAGACCACGCACATTTAAAAATAGAACGTTACAATTTCTTGCACAACATTACATATATAAGCTAATTCCTTATGTTTATTACACAAATGTGATAACACTAACTCTAGTCTAAGGTCAAATGTGCTATCCTTATCTAATAAAATAAATAAGAAAGAGATGGCTGTCCACGTTGAGATTTTCGATTATTGACACAGAGTAATATACTTTATCGTTCATTATTTAGAATTCCGAGAATTCACAAAGGCGTAGTTATAATAACAAATACTTTATGCGGAAATAACATTACTTGTCATTGTATTTTTAAACTACTCTATTACCATAAAATTAGACATTTTATTAAATAACTTGTGTACATGGTTTTAATGTTTATTTAGTAAAAATACCCTTTCTTCCGTCAGAACATCCTACAAAAGTTTCATTAAAGCCTGACCATTGGTTTAGAAATGCGTAGGAGCCAAACAATGCGTACACTTCACAAAGAAAAGGACTCATATTTCCTACCCATGTTGCATATCATTACAGTTACGTCTAAGTAAGAGCATCATACATTCGAGTTAAATTATAGCTTTTATAAATTTGCTGGTCTAATCGATTCTAAGTGGGAAGGGAATTATATTCTTTGACTGTACGTTCGTGGTGTAGCCCACACCCCTGTGTGTGACAACAAACTGTTGAAGTAAACATGTTTATGCTCAATCGACTCTAACTTAGCTTGACGCTTGTTATTCCGCCCTGTTTAACACAACGTAGGAACCTTTTTAAAGGGAAAATAATGTTTGAAAAACATGGTTACAATTATTAAATTATTTCATCGAAACTTTTACGTATATAACCAGACTGGCGAAAATAATTACCCTTCTGTCAAAAATATTGATAAAGACCAAATTCCTACCTCTCAGAAGTGAGACTAAATTTTATCAAAGGTTAATATAACATTGCGTTTCCACTACCGAAACATGTACAAATACATAACTTATCACAGTTATCAATAACGAGATGGCTTCTTGTACAAGTGTTACCGCAGTGAACATCGAAGGTTAAGACGAGCCCACTAAGGAAAAGTACCCAACGATGCAGATAGTCCAAAGAGATAACTCAACCCGGTCACCGCACTTCACTACATCTTATTGTAACAAACGATATTATGTTCATTATAATGAATGAATTCATTATTCTATAAGCCACTAGTGCTTATTATTTGAAGCAGTTAGTGTACACATCTGGCTCTAAATCTACAAGATCGCGCGCACACCTTTGACTAAAGCATCGCACAACTGTTTAGTCCCGCTTTGATTGCTATGAGCTTATATGGAAGTGCACACACTACTCATTTAAGCAATTAGACAGTTGAATTACCTGGAAAACAATCGACAATCGCAAAACAGTTGTGCGATTGTTTATTCAAAGGCGTCCCACTCTTAGAGTGATTCTTATTTAACGATTCATAACAGTAATAAACGAATAGTAAATGGACATATATAATAGCGTTTAAAAATTTTAGACATCTTCCAGATTGTAAGCGACGATTACAAGGCGAAGTGTCTTCGTTCAGAAGTTCCTTCGTTCAATCTTAACCTCCAAATCACCAAAGCATAGACGTTTATGGCTCTTACCAGGAGTACAATACCAAAAAGGTAAATTGGTTAAATAAACTATAAATACTAATAAAAACAAACCCTTCGCATAACGTAACGAATCTGTTAATGACTAACTCCAGTACAACAGTCTAGGTAATACCTTAGCATTCAACACTTCCGCGTGTTTTGACGCAAGCTGCCTTATTCAGTTGTTGCTACACAAAGACAATAATTAAATCAATATAATAAACTTCTATAGTATTGTAATTGTTAAATCAAATAGTATTATTTCGCTTTTATTATTGTGAAATAACTTTAATGCATAAATAATAAAGAGACTTCAAAAAGGAGGTTCTTAGTTATGTATGTTTTTGCGTTTATTCATGGTTCTTTTCTAACACAATCTGTGCTAACGATGCCAAGCGATTCCTCTGTTAAAGACATTTGAAAAAATATAGACGAGGCAAACTGAACATACTTTTCACCAGTACTTTCTCTGATAGGTACTATATCAGAATTAGTTGTCAAATTAAGTACGCTACCGCGTTTCCTTATATTAACATGTAATAAACCATTACATAAAGAGTTTTTTTAAAAAGAAAAAAATTAAAGATAATTTAATGACATGAATTGGAAATTAATTTGAATACCATCAATTACATTGAGATGAGGTTCTAAGGATTTATCGATGTATAGCGCCAATGAGGTTAGTAAAATTGTTTTAAGTGTAGTTTCGAATATGCCTCCTCTGTACAAGTTTTAATCTCTATGAAGTGTGTGCAAACTGGGGAGAAAATACTTAAAATCGTAGCACGAAATGTGTTAAGCTTTCTTTGATTGGTTTAAACAGTTAACGTACTCTACTGTACAATGAGTATTGTTCCACAATTAGCTCGTCCCCGGGGCTTGCATAACTCGCGGGGAATTCGATATAGTTTAACCCTGATATGTTCAGCGACGTCTCACGGTCAAGATCTAAAGTTTGTTTATATCGTGTAGTAATTGCAGTTTTCCAATGTTATTGTTATAGTCTAACCTAATAAACGATGTCGATATACTATTGCTTGTTTTAATTTACTATGAGTACAATTTTTAAGGATTATTCCCAACCGTCACCCTGCTCTGTCCCCACGTGGGTACAGATGACAATAAAAAGTTTATTCCGTCCCACCTTTTGCGACGAGGGGACGTTTGGAACTTATTTTATTTCAAATCGGTTCCATCTTTCACCTTATTGGTGATAATGGGACTAAGGTGGTACGGATGAAACTTTTTATTCTCATTTGGGGACAGAGCGGGGTGACGATTGGGAATAATCCATTTGAATCATATTACAGTCACGCCCGTTTAGATCGATCGTTAACTTGTTACAAATCTCAAATTTAGTACGTTAATTGTACACAAATGTTACGTCACCACCACCAAAAACTAATATGCAGTTCCTCTAATATAATTAACATGAGACCTGGTTTACATTATTCTAGCCCAGTGATAGAAATCCACGCTGGATTACAAGTGAAAAAAAATGTAACGCGCTGACGTCGCTGGTCTGGATAGTGTAAACCAGCCGTAATGTTGTAGAAATTAAACAAAAGAACAATTAGCTACGTTTCAAACACAATTAAACAATAGTTTAGTTTATCAACGTACTTTACGATAAATATATACATTGACCGAAAAACATACAAACCCAATGACGTGTAATGACGCTTATAATGATAATTTGTTATAGCGATAAATAATACTTAACTATATCAGGCATATTTGCCTTTATGAAGTACTTTAAAGTAATTAAAAATGATACTTACATATTTTGATCCACAGGCAATTGTAGTTAACTAGCTTAATGTTTTTAAGCTATTTTTTACTTAGCCAAATTAACTATAACCAATAACTTTACCAATTGTAGTAAATATGTCAAAATGTCATAGCGACAATATGTAGGTAATAAGAGAACAGATAAAATAAATCTATAAATTATTTATTCTATGCCACCTTCAAATGTTACGGTAAGTAATGATTTGAATAAAATGCCGATTTGAAATTAGAATCGAGGATGGAATTCCATTTCATTATTAATTTAAATTTCGATTAATTAATTAATTATTTTAATAGTTAATAGTGATCATTAATACTAGTATTTCTTAATCAAATAATTATTTGCCTTTTGTAAATGATACAGTCTACGTATTAATTTGATTTTATAAATGTACATATAGGGTTGTACCATTTCGAAAAACTAAGATGGTAGTTGCCAAGCTCAGTGACAGTTGGTATACTTATTAGCTTTTGTAGACTGGAGTTGAGTCAGTCTTCGCCTCAGCAGCACGATGGGTGGAGATGGTGATGGCTCGTTCAATCGATGACAGCATATGGAAGACAGGAGCTAACCTTTTTAAGTATGTATCATTGCCTTTTAGTGTCTACAATAATCGTAAGTTCATTTTTCAATTTGACTAACTGTGGCGTATTTAGTAGTTTTCATTTAATAATCTGGCTGCCCTTTATATGTTCATTAATATTTTGCGTGATCGTACGAAGGCCTGCACTAAATAGTAGAGTGATAGCTTATAGAACACTATAGCAACAGCTAATGATTTAGATTGTCCAATAATCTGCAACGGCTCGTTATGATGTATTGTTCGCTGGCGGTTGAGCAAGCCGGCATAAGACATTCGGCGTTGCATTAGGAAAATTATGTGCAACAACAACAAGTACGAAACGCTCATTTTCGTAATGTAACACCGCACTCGACCTTTGTTGTACACTTTATGTGTATCGCTCCGCGTTTGCGGCTCGTGTTGTATCTGGGTCGGCGAAGAAATAAAACGTCGGTAAATCATCACTTCAATACGAATTTTAATATTTAAGACATTTATATTCAGGTAATAAAAAGTATTCCGCTCGGCGGCAAGGTACATGGACACAATAAATTAACTTAACGGCTAAATCAGTCTGACGGTGGCGCCGAGTGCGGCTCGACTTATCCTAGTATCACAGATGAGTAGTGCGGTGGGGCGCGGGGC